ATAGAAAACTGAATACAAATCTCCCGTCGCTCGCACTTTGGAGCGATGCCAATCGCTCTAGGCAGAGCGACTGCATCGCGCGATGCAATCGCAGAGTCTGACCGACATCTAAACGGGACTCGAACCCAACCTTTTGCTTTCTGGGCAAGTGCGCTGGCAGTTAAACAAAAACAAGTCTTTCAAAGTGAAATTCGTCGGAGTACGAGAGGCGGTGCATACTCCAGTCTAGTCCATTTCGGGGCAAGGTGTTAAGTCTAATGATGACATGCCTGCTCTTTTCTTTCACTCCTGTCGTTCGGCTGCCGTAATCGGTCTACCTTTCCGAGGAAGATCGATAAGTGTTCTGCTTCAGAATCATTCGATGGCCACGTATGCGGGGAGTGAGGGCAAAAAAATACTCTGCCCATGGAGCACATCTGCAAACTTTTCGTCGCACAGGGTGCCGCTGTTGATGGAAGTTCACAGCAAAAAATTCTTTGGATATCCCCCCCCCTCCTTCCCAGAAAGTATAGAATGTTACAATGGTTTAGTCCGAAAACGCCTGGCTCCCGCGCTATCACATTAGTTTGGCGGCGGTGCCCGTAGCGCAGCCCAGAGGCTCACTTGCAACTGCGGCTAACTACCCCTGATGACAAGTTTCCATACAATTTTATGATCCTGAGTGTTCCAGCGCCGTTTAACGGCTGCAGCTGTGACGCGGATGCCAGTCGTTTTTGCGTTGAACGACAGCGATATTTACGTTCTACGTGTTGAGATACCCCGGCGGCAACTTTGCAGCCAAGACCTTCTGTTAATTTATTCCTGTAATGTAATGATATCCCATTCCTGTCATTCGGTCGTGATGTGTTGCGCTTTGTAGGTTTTGGATGAACTCGGCATTCAAATCGGCGAGGAAATGGCTGGTTTACCCACAGCAGGTGGGCAAATTGGCGTCAGTACAGGCGAGAGGACCAAGCAACCTGTTGCTGCCGGAGGAGGCACTGACATTGACGATGATTTACAAGCCCGTCTAGACCAGCTGCGACGGGAATAAAATGGGTTATTCGTGTATGCATGTCTTTTTTCTTACTTTGTATATTGTACGATGAACTTCTCTCTTTCTTGCTCTGGAGCCGTCTAATGAGTTTCTCGATTTTTACTCACAGTCACGGGCTAAGACGCAACATAGTACGTGACAAAATAGCTTTGAAGTACAAACACGGCTGTCGTTAGCAAAAGGTTGCAAATTTTGATGGAACTTTTACATCTGCTACGACACACGTATTATCCACGTTTTGTGTACGGGTCTTAGCTCGTGATCGTAGCTGTATGTTTTCTGGCCAATTTACAGCATCCGTGTTATTCGCGCGTTCTCCATCTCAATTGATTATTACTTATTTGGCTAATGAAAGCTAGTGAGGAGAATTGATTATCACCTATTTGGCCAATGAAAACTAGTGAGGAAAATTCTGGGGAATATTTCTAATATTTTGATTTGTTTCAATTTAATTCCTGAAATCACCTATTGGAGGGTGCTCCAGTTCACACATTCTATCCATAGTAGCTACTGCTGTTTTTCATCACAGCACACTTTCACTGCTAATTTTGTCGTAATTATGTTTGAGTCATATGTTCATGGCCCCTAAGATTTGAAATAGTATGCTGCTCATAGTCACACTGATGCATCTTTGTCTTTGTATAAAAACAAGATATTACCACGTGTTGTATTTCACTACGCCAAATTCTTCGGTTTGTAATATTAGTTTCCAAATCACAGACGATCAGGTTCTACTTCTTTAACACACTTTGGGGAGCGGTACTGTCCTTTAGTGAATTTTTTTTGCTGTGAAAGTTCCGAAGGCCGCAGAGGGGGTGCGTGGTAACGAGGTATTCTGAATAAATGTGCCAATGTCATATAAGTGGGTAACATTCATAACAGAACAGCAAACAATTAGTTTACTCGTTCGATCAAAGATTCTGCAATTTTTCAAGGAATTTTAATAAGGTGACGCTTCTGAAGGCTGCGGATTAGAGTGGAGGACGTTGAAGAACACCTGTGTTGTTATTATTCAAGTATTTGCGCTAGTTCTACTCTAGGGCTCTGTCTTCTGTTGATATGTTTACCAATTTTAATAACTGAGGGTATAATTAACTTTCTTCTGAAGTTGTTTAGAGGATTGGAGGAGCACTTGCATCTCCTCATCCTTCACATTTTAGAGTATTAGTGTGTTCGCAGTGACTGATTCTGATAAGGGGATTTTCAACAGTTTTGTTTCGAACCAAAATTATTAGGTTGTCCCATAATTAGTGAATCACTTTGGGTATTTTTGAATTCAATTTTTTTCTTTTTTATTCGAAGTCTTGCTCATCCAAACATACACCTCTGTCATCTACAATGTATTGCCTATACATGGGAATTTAGTCGCTGTCTTCCTCTAAATTCCAGGAGCTCTTGATCGAAGAAAGATCGGAAGTCGGGTTTGAGGTCATGTCACTTAGCGTAAAATTTCTTCCTGGGGAAGAGCGCTAGAGCTCAGACTGAGTTGTCTTTTGTTGGCACGAGGATAGGGCTACACGGCGGAGGTGGAAGAACTGCTAGCCTGGGAGTCTCCAATTTTTTATGAATATTCTCCGCAAGGTGGGGTCGAACGACCTCAGGAAAAAAGCAGACTTTGTCTTGCTTTACTTTCAAATTGAACGCGTCGCCATTACGCTGTCGACGTTGATCTTCTTCAGTGACCCTAGTATTACTGGGCGGCGGTTCCCAGCGCAAGGTCCCTCTCGTGCTCCACCAATATCTCGGAAGGGTCGGACTTAGAGGAGGTTGGGCTTTTGCTGTCAGAACTCCCGAATCGTTCAAGCTAGGCTACTGCTCCTTGTGAGATTTGCTAGCACACTCCACCCAGTCCAGAACCCTGGTGAATATGCTGGATGATCACTGTAAGGAACTAAGGGAGATCAGAAGGAACATGACGATGTCAGATCGTGTGCGGAGCTGTTTCGGGCTCAGAGCATGGAGATACAAATTAATATTTTAAATCTTTACGACTCTACGTAGATGTCTACATTCCATCATCTTAACAAGTTGGATACGCTCTAGCGACTAGTTTGTCCAGTTCCATTCTCAGTGGCGCTGGCTAGGGCAGTGAGATTGCCAGTCGAAGGGTACCTTGGAGTGTGGGTCATCTTCAAATAAAAAAGCCAACCCCGGAATAGAGTGAACCATAAGTGCACCGTGGATTGAGGGAGCGTGCCCTCGCCTATCTGCTGGTTGATCCTCTATGTTGTTTGGCGTTTGAAAGATCCTAATCAGAAGTGATGAAGAAGGAAGCTCAAAAATAGGTTCCAGAAAAATTGATGTAATAGCCACGTAAGGCAGCGTGTAAATGGGCTGACTAAATGCTCAGGTAGGATAATGTGGGTGCTACTTCGCAAAACATGTTTCACGCCTTTACCATTTTTCTTGGATTTTTATAGCAATAAATGTAAAGTGATTCACTAATTATGGGACAACCTAACACATTTCTGACAAGAGAAATCGTTGCTTCAGAGCTAGAGCGCCTTTTCGAAACGACCTTTTCCATGTGTAGGTGCACAGTATGGAATAAAGCAGGTTTATGTTCACAAGCGGTCCTCTGACTAGGGCCAGCTGTGACGTTGTTCCGAGTTCAAAAATTTTACGACCCCTTCCCTGTTAGGCTGGTGTCAGAGACCGCGATCTTTCGCGCGTTCGCGTGAATCGTGCGACGGATCACAGAAAGCCAAGCAGGGTCAACCGCCCGTTGCGCAAAGAACAACGAGGGGGTCGTATTCAGCCGACCGAAAAGGGAGGGGGTCGTATCCACAGAGACGGGCTGCAAGACGGCTTGAAAAGTGCAGTGTCCGGGAGTGCACTTTCACGCCTCTAATGTTCTCCAGGAGCTCTGCACCGCTGTCGGAGAGTCACACAGACAAGAGCTCCATGGGAGCATTAGAGCATGCAGAGCATTATAAGTCTCACTATCAGCCATTATTATCCTTAATACACGGACGGCGCTTTCGCTCGACAGCATAGATCAAGATTACAATAGCCAAAAACTTTGCAGTGTAGTGCAAAAACATGGTCTGTCTTCGATGATCGAACATTCCTGAAATCCCAAGGAGAACAAAGTGTAGAGCAGTTCATGGGGAAGTGAAACAAGAGTACCATATAACAGTACAATGCAACTCAATCACGATACTAACACCTTCTTCAGGAAAATGGAGGACTTTCAAATGCGAGTGCGACTTCTGCCACAGACAGGTGCACGGCGTATACCCGAGCAGGCGTTTTCCCACAAAAACGCCTTCTCTGTCAGCGGCCGTAAGCAGACAAACTTTCAAAGAGAATTTTGATGCTTTCAAATCAAATCTAAGCGGAACAAAGTGTAGCGAACTTGCTGAATTGAGTTCTAGAAACCCCTTAGGAAATTGAGGCAGAAGAAAGAATTTCAGGGAAATTTTACACTTGTTATGAAGTACTCTTCGAGTAGATTCTAACAGTCTTTACCGCTTCTCATCACATTAATTTTGAAGGAAGTTATGGGCCTTTGAAGACTGCATAGTCGCGGTCCAGGAAAATGGCTTGAAAAAAATCAAGGTGGAAAAAACGGAACAACGGGACTATTTTTTGAGCGAGTGATTATTTCAAAAAGTTTTAGCACTTATTCGAAAGCTCTAATCTTCTAGTTTCTAATTAGCCTTAGACATCTGCAAAAAGTTGATATGAAGAAAGTTATGAATGTTTGAATGTCTCGAAAACTCGCGTGTGCACAAAAACGGAACAACGGGACGATTTTTTGAAATATTGAACATCCACAACATTTCAAATACTTTCAGGAAGAAAACTATTTGAATTTTTAAAATTTTGGTGTCCGGTTCCATGAGACCGCTTCTGAAAAAATATAACCTTCTGAATGGAGGGGTTTGGATTGCAACGTAATTGCTACAAGGTTTAGTTTTTCAGATTATAAAATAAGGAAAATTGAGAGATCGAAAAAAACTTGGTAGGTTTCTGAAAGTAGAAATCTTTGTGATTATTATCATGTATTGGTTTACGCAAAAATTTGGAAATTCCTTCTATTTAATGAATAAAACTTTATGTTGCCTCGATCCCTCTGGCCGCACGCATAGTCGGTCGGACGACAGCAACGATCGCAAGTGTCGCAGATCAATACGCAGCTACTATTCCACACTACAGTGGGACTTTCGAAATACGATCACGCGCAGTCACGTGTTGTCTGGGTTTGCATTGGGTGACCGCGTCGCCTTCCATTTGCGACCGCGGTTTATGCGACACTTGCGGTCGTTGCTGTCGTCCGACAGCAACGATCGTTGCTGTCGGACGACCTCTTCTCTGAGCGAGACAGAGCGCGCGGATTGACCACGGTCCACCACTTCTCCATGTTGGTGACTGCCCACACATCAATGATGAGCATTAAATTATGTGAAAGACATAATAGTTAATACGGGGGGTCGTACCGATACCCTCCGAAAAGGAAGGGGGTCGTAAAAATTTTGGAATTTGCGCAACGCGGGTTGACCCTGAATCCAAGTGCCCGGCCAATGCTGCAAGGTGTTCTTCCAATCCGCCGCCATTTGCTTGATGTGATGGCTGAATGACGACTGTTCATGATTCTACTTGTTTCATATTCAGTGTTTCAAATGTTCAAATGGGACACTTGCGAATTTCTGCGATCCGCGCGAATCGCGCGAGGATCGCGGACTCCGACACCAGTCTTAGCGAGCCTCGCTACACCACCAACTAACAGTCGTAGGTTGAGTGCATTAGGCGACCCATGCACTGAAAAAAAAACACTTATATGCACGAAAACTTTTATTCTATAAACGAAAGATAGACTGTAAAAAAATGGAAATTTTGTGCTAAATAAAAGCGCCAATGGAACCCGCCTGCGGCTTGTGTTCTTCATTGGTGCGCACAATTTTTCTCTCTTTTTCTCTCATCCCACCGAAAAGAGTCTGGCATGAACTGCTGATCTTCAAATTAGTGCAGTTTTTTTCTGAGTGTTAGCCTTT